ATATATATTTAAAAAATGCATTTCTTTTCAATATATCGGTTCAATTTTTCTCTTAAACTTATCTCCGACCAGAAAATAAAACAATAAACCCCATTTTAAATATTATAGAAAAATACACAGCAAGAAAAATCGAAATAAGTATAAAATTTATCGATTTAGACTCAAAATAATCCAATCATAAAACTGATTAGATAAAAAGAAACAATAAAATTAAATCTCCCTTTTTTTTATTACCAATAAAAATAATTAAAATAATTCAGGATCTTCCAGACAATTTTTCAATCTTAAAAATTTAATATTCGATAAAGAATAATATATTTAAAACATATATATATATATTTTTTTTTACCCCGCCAATCAAAACAACAACGCAATTACGTAAAGATATTAAAAGTAGAGAGTGTTGTAACCGGGTTTTATATGAGAATTAACATACTCCAAGCAAAAAAAAAAAATTCGAAAAAATAAAAAGCATTTTCATCACGGTAATTGTTCCAGCCACTAATTACACTCATACCAAGCAGTAAAGACGTTAGTATTATATCTAGATGATGTTATTGACGTTAGCATCCTTTAATTGATTAAGTAATCTGTAGTCATTCTTCGCCTTATATCGAATTTCTAAAAAAAAACGAGATGTTTTTCTTCGAAATAATAATAATAATATAAAAAAAGTGGGTACATAAAAGTTTAGAAGAATAATAAGCTTTTTTTGTTATTGGTGTTCCGACAATGTTAGATTTGCAATGAATGGAGCCATCTTGAATTATATTCTTTTATTACTCCATCCTGCCTTTTTGGTATGCTCGATAATTCCTTTTCATAATAATTGATTTTGTAGATAAAAGAAAAACCACGTAGGACGAAAGGAAAAAAAAAACTGGACGTCAATACAAATCAAACGTTGCTTATCAAGATTTGAATATAAATAGCCAAAATATCGACGTTTTTGGTTCACTTATGAGTTCATCCTGCTGTGCAATAAAACACTCTTAAATATCTTTTTATGGTAGACGAGATTGAGTTTCTCCCAATGTTTTACAGGATTTGATTTTCATTTTTTAAAATATCCTGCGAAGATAAAGTTATATTTTATCGAGGATTTAATTTTTTATTAAGAATTTATTGACTAAAAATCTAAAAAAAAAAATAAAAATAAAAAATTATGGAAATTTTGTCGGTACAAAGACTTATTGATTCGTATTAAATATGTAAATACCTCTTCGCTCGCTTAAAAACTTTTTTCCCCCTTCTTTTTTTCTTGTTAAAATATTATACAAACGTTGAAGACTTTCACGTAAGATACACTCAGTGACGTCTGATATCTATAAATTTTTCTTTACTTAATTTTTTAATTATTAAACCCACGAGTTTTTGATTTATGCGTGAGTTGAGATTTGAGACCTTGATATCGTTATCATGATGTTTTCATTAATTCTGTATTTAAAATTCCGAATTCATTAAGCCCAGGAGTAGTGAAATTCGAGATTTTTTGGTTCGTAATTTATCACTTTTATTTTTTTTTCCTTCCCCATCGAGAAAAAGAAAAAAAAAGTTTTAATTGCGTTTGAAGTTTTTACATCCATAAACGTTGCTGTATCTGAGTAATTAACGTTAGTCTTTCAAAGTAAAAACTGTCAGATTAATTAATATGATATTTTTCAGATGAGAAGTCATGTTAACAGCCAGAATATGTTCGATATTATGGTTTGTGGCCTTCTTATCTGGAAGTTTGTCGACTATCCCAAAGCACTCGTGTCCCAACCGCCTCGTCATCAAACCCTGCATGTGTGCCGTTAAACCAAAAGGGATTAATTTATCCTGCGAGGATATGAAAGTCGAAGAGTTGCAGCAAGTTTTACATAACATCGCTAAAATCGGAGAGAGGATTTGGTATCTGAAGTTTAAGAACAACGAATTAACCATATTTCCATCGGGTCTGCTTCAAGGATTAGATGTTCTACACTTCATGGCCCATTACAGCGACATAACGACCGTAGTCGATGCTGCCTTTTCTTATCTTGGCGACAAATTGAAATTCTTAGATCTTTCTCACAACTCTCTAGAACAGGTGCCTAGCAAAGCTCTAGAATCGCTGGCTGAACTCACTTCGTTGAACCTGAATTATAACAAAATTAAAACTTTGCACGCTAACGCCTTCAAAGGTTTGACATCTCTGATACGTTTGTCTCTGTATGGTAATCGCATCAAACTAGTTGATAATCTGGCTTTCGCCAGTGTGGGAGTTAACTTGACTAGACTGAACTTGGGATCTAATCTGCTTAGCCACATTCCCTCGCCCGCTTTTGAAGTATTCCAGAATTTGCAAAGATTACAACTTCGTGAAAATCAAATTACCGCCTTGGATAGCGAAGGTTTTCAAGGAATAGGAAACAGCTTAGATGCTTTGGATTTGTCTTATAATATGATCGAAAATATTCCCGAAAAATGCTTCGTCAACCTTCGTAAATTGGATTCTTTAGAAATCGAAAATAATCGAATTAGCAATATTCATAACCAAGCATTCGACGGAGTTTCAGGTACGGAAATACATTTTGTTTTTTCTTCTTAATTTAAATGTAAAATATTGCAGAAGAGTTAATTTTTTTTTATTCTGTAAGTATAAAACGTGTTAAAACCGAATATTTTCAGCATAAAGTCGGTGCTTTACAGCTGTGTCCAAACAAGATTTTCTCTTTCTGCATCGCGTTAATCTCTCTCATTCATTTATTACTGTGGAGACCAGATTAAAATACGATTCGCATAAACTATCTAAATTTAATTTTCATTAAATGATCTGTATCAATTACTGTTCCTTTCCAATTACAATTCGCCATATCCTACAAAATGACTGCTTATTAAATAATTTCTATAGCGTGTTGCCGAATAGAATCAAAAATTTTTAACGAAACACAAGAACGTTGGAAAAGATTATTTCCTTAGTTCAACAAAAATTTCTTGATAAAGCGATTCAATTGCGAGTTGTGTCGAGTTTCAGTCACCAAAAGAGGAAAAGCACAAATCGAATGAAGAAGAAAAAGTTACTTTCAAAGAATGAAAAAGAAAGTATCAAAAATAAACAAAATGTAACTCGGTGAATATCTTTAATAGAAAGCTAAAAGGTTTTTAGTTTGAAAAAAAAATCAATATAATTATCAAAAATCTGAAAGTTTAAACGGTTAACTTTTCTATGCAAAACGTTCCTTGTTTGTTTCAGAAACCAGATTTTTATCTGCATTTATCGATTTTTATTTCCAACCCAACAGATTTAAATATAAAAGAAATTCGTTTAAAAAATTTAAGTCTGCATTTTCTTGGAAATGTTGCCTTTACCCACCATATATCATTTTAAATAATTATTCTTAGAAGACAATGTTTTATTTCGTATATTATAAATATTTCATAACTAAATGCGACTGACTTGAGTTTTTATTTAATTATTTTTTCTATATATTTTGGACAAAGTAGGCTAAGAAGAAAAGTTTGAAAGTTATTATTATTTTTTTTTATTTAATTTTTCATAGAATTAATGCTCGGGCAATTTTTATTCTTCTTCTTCTTCTTCTTTTTTTTTTTTTTTTTTTTGCTTCAGGATCTCTGGAATGGTTAAAGTTAGGCAATAACGCTTTAGACTACATACCTTCGGAAGCCTTCAAGCAGATGAATAAGCTACGAGAACTCGATCTACGAGGGAATAACATCAGCAAAATACCCGAAGATGCTTTTAAATCTTACGGCCAAGATCTGAAATTTATTTATCTTCAAGAAAATAGGTATTTGTATAAAAATTCGAATCGATATTTTTAGATTATATCTAGTAAATACATCAAATAAATAAATTAATATACCAAACTCCCAAGCCACGTGGTTTAACCTCATCGAAAGTTAGGCCTAAAACACGTGGCTTTTGAGACTATGATCTATCAATTTAAATGTTTATTAATGACTCTTCGATTCCAATTTTGTATTTTAAACTAATAATGGATAATAAAAATCTGTATAGATCATTTTCCTGTGAATTTTCGATAGATTTACTGGATAAAAAACAGTTTTTATGAGTGGTTGTAAATAATGTTTTTGCTTTCTTGTTTTTTCAGGATAGAGACAGTGGATCCTACTTCATTTCAAGATTTGCAGTCGTTGCAATGGCTGCATCTTCATTCCAATCATCTAACATCTCTCCCATACGAAACATACATCCCAGTACTTGACACACTGCAAATCCTGGACATTCACGGTAAGGCTAAACTTTTATCTCTTCGCCATGTGCCATGTTCTAGACAGTATCTTTACTACCCTCTGGTGTCAAAATTCGAAACAAATTTTATCATGAAAAATTCTCGTAAAATTTTTCACTACTTTTTTTTTACAGTTTTATTTCTTACTTTATTATATAAAAAAATAAAATAGAATTTAAAATATTAAAAAATATATATATATATAAATGG